AAAAAAAGCATCTATTCCTTAATATTTATTACTCATTTAGGAAAAGGATTAATCACTATATGGAGGGGGTCATCAACTATATTCGATACTCTACCTGATGTCCTGATTTAGTAACTGTTGTTCTGTTATTAAATTAGACATTCTAGACTGATTTAAATCTAATTGTAAATGCTGTAGAAATAGAAATGTTAAGTCATCGAGTAACGTATACAGTTGCTGACCCCCCTCCATATAGTGCTTGACCCCTTCCTTAAATGAGCCATAAACATTGTAATAAAAAAAGCATCTATTCCTTAATATTTATTACTCATTTAGGAAAAGGATTAATCACTATATGGAGGGGGTCATCAACTATTTTCGATACTCTACCTGATGTCCTGATTTAGTAACTGTTGTTCTGTTATTAAATTAGACATTCTAGACTGATTTAAATCTAATTGTAAATGCTGTAGAAATAGAAATGTTAAGTCATCGAGTAACGTATACAGTTGCTGACCCCCCTCCATATAGTGCTTGACCCCTTCCTTAAATGAGCCATAAATATTGTAATAAAAAGAGCATCTATTCCTTAATATTTATTACTCATTTAGGAAAAGGAACAATCACTATATGGGGGGGGGGGTCACTAACTATATTCGATACTCTACCTGAGCTCCTAATTTAGTGACTGATGTTCTATTATTAAATTAGAAATACCAGACTGGTGTGATTCTAGAAGAGTAAATTTAAAAGATTCGATTGATCTTTCGCGCCCGAAACATTATTTCACGTCAAGTTGATAAAAATTAACGAAGGTTAATACAGATAGCAGAGAAGTCGGCGTTTCGAATCGAAGACAGACGGTGGGCCTTGTGAAAGCACGCACAAAAGGCGCGTATCGCAGAAAGCTCGACCCTTCCGCATCGAGGGCCACCGATTGATTTACAATGGCCGAAGGTGTGGCAGAATCCGACACCAATATCACGCCGATACTCGGGCGCGTGGACAATTATCCTGCTGGACAAAGGCGTACGGGGGTGTATGCAGGATATCCTACACGTATGTGCGAGCGGAGGCTAGCCTACGGCTCTTTACGCAGCTGACGCGCCTCGTATTAAGAATCGCGTGGGCCCCGCACGTGCGTGGGCAAAACACCCGCACGTTGCAGCACACGCAACTCCGAAGAAAACTCGAACGTTCCTCCAACGCGGCTAGAGGAGGTGCAAGGACCTCCCGATATTTATCTGCCATTGAAAGCGACGCGGGAACCTCGAATGAAACTTACGAGACGCGCTCGTCACTCCTACTTGAAACGGACGACCGCATTTCTGAGCCTCCAGACACGTATACGATACGGGACCAAAAGATACCACGCCTCGAGATTTAGAGAATTTCTATTCGTTTGGTCGAATTTATTTATCGTAGAATTAAATATTCGACGAAATTAAAAATTTTTTATTCTACGATAAATAAATTCGACTGTATTCAATTTAACGGTAGATTTACGTACACGAGTCGCGCATATTTTTAAATGGAATTTATTAAATTCAACAAAAATTGCTAGCAAATAATATTTACGAGTATGAGATAAATGGAAATTTATGGGAAATTTTAATTTTCAAAAAAGCTACAGAATGCAGTTGATATAAAAAAAATATAAGAAATACTTAAGATACGAATTATTAGATTTAGGGTACAACCCTCTACGAAGCTCCCATTTGATTAATTCTATTTGTGAGTCCTGTAAGGTTAAGTTCGGAATCTGAAACTCATCGAATCGATCGTATAATGTTTGATCGATTACGTAATTTCCATTAGTCTCTCTTACTTTCCCCCGCCGTTTCACGAGCTTTTTAATACCATCTTCGTAAAATTGTTCTGCCCTTCGCGAGAAGTACTCTCGAAGGGCGGTTCTTAACTTCCTCGTAAGTGAAGTCCCCGAAGCTTTTTACGTTCCAGATAATTTTTTAACTCGCCCGAAGAAGGCGATAATCTGACGATGTACCATAATTTCCCAATTCAATTCCTCGTGGAACCGTGACTCATTTTTTATTTAGAGGTATTGAATGATTTATCGTTAAATTTGTACGCGTGCAACGAAAACGGTACGCGTAAGCTGAATAGAATTTACGCTAAACACGCGCCGCGGTGTATCGAATATTCGAATAAACCATCGCTTCGTATTTCTGATATTTTCTACCCGGTACTACCATTGTTCTTCGAGTGATAATGAACTCGTAAATACTCAGCAATCATCGAATAAGGGGCGCAACCATCGTATGTTCTTCAAGGCATACGTATGCGAATAACAACCAGTCGTCATTCCTTCCTTCATGACTGACAGGTTTATGTCTTCGCTCGTCACGCCTCTACGTGCTGAACAAGACCAACCCCCACCGATCTTTCTCTTAACTTCTCTTCCGTCTCATTCTACCAATTTTTACTGGAAGAAGGAGAAGAACGGGCCGAGACGAATTTCAACAATTTATGGATCTCCATATATATTGTGAATTCAATAGAAATTACGCGATAAATATCGACCTGTCATGGCGGATAGTAATTGAACGCGTTTCCATCGATTCGAAAAAGCGTAAATTGAATTAACCAAAAACTTTGGGGTATCGTACTCTACTCTCCCTTAAGAGACACTCCGTTTTTTTTAAACTAACCTTTAGGGACTAAGTTATTGGGTGTCGTGAAGAGAGTTTTGCACAATATTTTTAGAGTTTCTTCTTTGTGGCAACTTGGAAAATTTCGTAGGAGAACAGAAAAGGAAAGGAGGGGTGCGTTTCGTCCTAGCAGGCCCTGTCTTGGACGACTGTGATATTGGGAAGTCGTTCGAGGATTGTAAATATAGCAACCGAGTAATCGGTCGAGCGCTTGTGAGAGCGCGACCCCTCTGGTGGCGAGCATGGGAGGCAACACCACACCTTCAAGCTCGAGAACGAGACCACACGTTATGAAACACTCTATACTTGTGAATGATTCGTTAGAGTCATCTAACTACAAAAACTCCCGTTCTCAAGTAACCTAATCGGGGCCGCCAATTCGCTTGAAATCGGAGTAGGAGTGATTTTAATCTCAAACTGTGATCAATAAGGATCGTTGCGATAAGAGTCACTAAAGTTGAAATATCATTCGCACTACGTAAACATAGACGGAAGAAGAAGTTCGTTTCGTTACTTGGGTCTACTATAAAAATTGACGCTTAAAAAAAGAAATTGCTATAGTAAAGATGAACAAAATGCTGTCTGTTTAATGAAGAAACATTTTTACTGCTATGCTTTACAGTGCTCGACAAACGTGTTATTTTTCAGAAATAAAAATCTAATTTTATAATTGAAAATAAAACACGAATACTATAGTTAATATCCCTATGTATGTCTCTAAGCATATTATATTTTAAATATAATTTAGTACCAAGAGACATTGAAATGTATAAAAACCATGTGCTGCCGTCTACAGACGCATTAATGCACTTCATGTGCAAGGAAGAAAATTACCAGCATATGATTGTATAGATATGTGTATGTAATTAATTATCATAACGGAAATTAAACTAATTAAAGTAACACAGACAATGACCATAGTTAGAATGTCAGACTAAATATGTATCTAAAATAGTAACTGTAACTTTGATTTTCACTTTCTTTACATTTTTATGCAAATGTGAATCGTATGTTTTACTGTTTTTTATACGGTTCATAGTTTTTTAACTGTGCCTTACCAACTGTTGATATCACAGAGATATCAATATATATAATTTAAAATTACTATGTTTGCCAGTATCTTGGTTTTTTGCGTTAAAAAAATGAAATTTCAACTTATTTTGTATCATATTGATTCATTTTACTATATTATGGAAGAGTTTTTGCAAAATAATAATAAATTCAATTGATAATGAAGTTGATCGTTATGCAATTACACTTCGATAATGATCCAAGTCATTTGTTTCTCGTATAAACGTGTCACTTACGAAGAAGTGCACAATTATTTTCCTATTAGGTCATTAGAGAATGGTTCAAGTAGATATAATAGTGAATACCCACAAGATCTAATTACTGTTACCGAAAAATGGAACAGAATGACAAAACAAATATATCACTTATACCCAATTATTTAAGGAACGATAACCACATTAATTAATTTCACAGGAAACTGAAAAATAATTCGAACGATAATACTTATCGGTAACCCTAATTGTTATCTATATCGGTCTTCACGCTTCATCCTATGACACAATTAAGATTCAAAAGAATAAAAAATGTGACTCACCCACAGGAAGATACGCAGAACACATCCTTTTCGTCATATCGCTGTTGATTCTCTGCCATGAAAATATTTTACATTAATTGTAGTCAATTGAAAACACAAATCGTGTTTATGCACATTGTAAAAAGATAAATATGTAACAGATTACAATTTGGAAATGCTGTTTTAACATTACACGAAAGAAGCTGGTGTACACAAATAATCGCAAATCTATCGAAATACGTTGAACTAACGATCGAGTTATCGAAACGATAGTAAGATATTTCTCGTAACGTCGAAAACTCTAAAATGAATTCGATTTCAGTGCTCAGTAATAAAATAAGTTTAATTCTTTAAATAATGGTAGTGTACACGAATTTTTTATCTGCGAAAAATAAATCTCAAACATAAAAGTGATAAAAGAATAACGTTATTTTAAATATTTACAAGTGCTCCATTTACATATTACAAAAACTTTCAAAAATGTATCGTATTATTAATAATTACAGTTCAGAATTTATTTATCATCTAAAGTATATAAAAACCTGCCCCAGACATGCAGCCACTGTGAGTACTCCTGATATCACTGTAATTTTTTATTAGATTAGTTAAACAAGGTGATCGACAGTTATTAGTACCTTTGAAACAACAACAGTACTTTAGAAATAGCAAATTTTAATGGAAGTGTTAACATGTTACTAATATTAACGTCAACAAAATTAACTATAAGTCTTGTTTTAATTAAACAATTTATTTTAAGAACTGTTGTCTGGTATAAAATTCATCAATTTATTAAAATCAGGATATTACATTTCGATTCCACATGTTTGTAACACTCCCAAGTAATTCTGAAGACTCCTCCAAGGTGCATTCAATTAATGTACATTCAAACTGATCTTGGAAAGCATTTTGAAATAATGGTAAAACATCTTGAGTAGTAACATTTGCATTAAGTTCCTTGGTAATACTAGTTACACCCTTTCCTTCAATACCACAAGGCACAATGTGATCAAACCAACTCAAATCTGTATTACAATTTAGAGCTAAACCATGTGTTGTAATATACCGACTTCCATGAATGCCAATTGCACAGATTTTTTTATCATTCACCCACACACCAGTATCTGGTGATGTTTTACCATTAAGGCCATACTCTGCACACAAACGTATAATCATTTTTTCTATTTGACACACATACCATTTCATGCTACTTTTAAATTGTTTCAAGTTTAGTATAGGATATGCCACTAACTGTCCTGGTCCATGAAATGTTATTAGACCACCCCGATTTGTCCTATAAAATTCCGCACCCAAACTCTTTAACTTCTCTTCATCTTGCACAGTATAACTCTTATCTCTAATACCAACTGTATATACTGGATTATGTTCAAGCAATACTAATGTATTAACAGTATCTTTTTCTAACTTTTGATAATGTTGATCAAACAATATTTTTTGCAATCTGAGACCAGCATTATAACTTAACCGACCTGCCCATAAAACCTTCACTATTTTTGATGTCATAATGAAACAATGACTAAATATTCTTTCTATCAGATCTGATTTTGTATATATGTATATATAAACATTTAGATAACTTAAACGTTCTGACAATTCATTTTTTCTTCAGTACTTTTTTCATCAGCTTTCTTTTGTATAACAGTATGTAGAAGCCATGAGACCTGCCAAAAGAGTAGAAGGAATTATACAGATTTAACATAATTAAATTAGTAATAATCTGATGGAATAATACTAATGATATCTTAATTAAAAATAGTAAACGTACATAGGCATCCGTTGCAGCATAATTTTTTTGCTCTTCACTTAGAGGATGTATGTGCCACTTACTCATTCTAACTTTTGAGTTTTTATCAATCCTTTTTTTCAACTATATTAAGAAAGGAAAAAGATTATACGTATTGCAAAAACAATGGTGCTATACCATTTTAATATTCAATTATATACCGTTTCACAATATTAAATTTAAATGTAAATTAGACAGAAGAAACTAACCAAATATGCTGTTAACTTTTCTAAACTCCAACGACAAGATCGATTTAATACTTTATTTGCAAATGTGCCACTATCCATGCAATTATTTTCTACAACTTTCTGAGCTGGGAATTCTTTAAAATCTCTACCAAGTTTCCAAACATCGCTATAAATTAAGAAGTTATATGACATAATATAAAAACATGTAATATACGACGCATCAGTGTCACATTAACGTCATATTTTACTTACTTTTTTATATTGACTCCAACAAGTTTTACCTTTGGATGACTTAAAAGAATTACAAATGCAGCAGGTAATTTGTTTAATGAATATATATGCAATAAATGACAGACTGTTTCGTTTAAACAAATTTGCGCTAAAGCAGTTTTTCCACTACCTGTCTGAAAATTAAAAGGCCACTCTAAATCAAATCCTACTGGTACTATTTCATTATCACATCTCTCCACATCTTTTCTAAAAAAAACAAAGAAAAAATAGACAAAAATATAAAAAAATATTTATAATTTCATATCGCATTCATCAGTAATCATAATAATGTAAATCTTACATAATATCATCGCAAATGTTAGCACACACGTTAAAATCTCTGGTATAAGTAATATGTCCCTTAAACACAATTGGCGGTAAAAGACTAATATCAGGGTCTCTTTCTACGGCAGTTTTCTTTTCACAGTTTTCCTATTAAAATATTTATAATTAGCAATGAACAAGCTTAAAGCATTAAAAACATTTAAGTTTCACTGTAATTTAAACAAAATACTTGTACACACGAGAGATATTTCAAATATTTTCTTTGATTATTAATAACTAAAAAAATAAGGTATGTATATAGAACATTTATTCATAGGATATTCTTAAGCTGTTTTAATGTGTAATTTCTATTCCTTAAGTATTTATATGTACTTCTGAAACATCCAGTATCTTTCACATTCTTTGTTTGGCAAAATATGAATATTTAACTCGAAATTAACAATCTATAAAATACACAATATTGGAAGTCTGTTTATTAGAAACACAAAAGTGGTGTCATCTTTCAAGAGGTTACCTGTAATCAAAATATAATTATATTAACATGCCTTTAAATGTGCTGGAAGATTCCTAGGTGATCGTCGAACAGAAAATTCCTTAACCTCTAATGTATGCTAAAAATATTAAAGTTATGTAATATCACTAAACCAGCAACAAACACAATAAATGTTGTATGTATTAACCTCTCTAGAGTTACTAGTAACTGTTATTTGACGTGAGCCCCTGGTTATCATCGTGAATAAACAAAAACGAATATTCGTGACTACTATTTAACAATTAATTTAATGAAAGTGAAATAAAACAAAACTACAAACTATTTTCAAATTTGTTAAATAAACATTTTCAAACATTTGCCGATCAACAACTTTCCCGCTAAAATTCTTCCTTACTTTTCACCACCACGTGCATATACTCCGCAGGCATATTTCTATGTGCATTAGGAGAAGCACAGTTTATAAACCGTGGAAGAAACTTTGAATTACAAAATATAAAATTATTAAATTTACAGTATACATATTATTTTTTTATCCTTTCTTTATATTATCCAACTATATGCTACGTGTATACTATAACCGGTACGTATACATTTAGTGGATGCCTTCAGTTTACAAGAATATCTATTGTCTTAATCTTATTTCCTATTTCTATGTACATAAGTACTTGCCCCAGTGTGGCCAGATTTTGCATAATTGGGTATCACATTTTATTTGATTTCTAGGTGTTAATTAATTCTTTACCTATGATTCTTTTTCTATTTCAGCATTATTTCTTTAACCTGTTTAATTGTGTTGATATTTTTAACATTGCATGAAAATAATAATGAAATATCGTTTTCATTCGTGTGTCATGATTTTCATTTGTATTTTTTATTTGTATTGGCGATTAATTAGTATTTTTATTGTGTACATTTCATTAGGTGTTTCATACATTTCCTTTTTGTATGTTTCAATATAAATATCATTTTTGATTTTATTTTTTATATAAATTAATCGCAAGGACATCAAAGGAAGAAGTCGCATCCGCCGAGTGACTTTTAATTCTAAGTCGATTAGACATAAACCTCATCACGAATTTTAAAGTTAAAATTTTTTTTATTTTAAAATCTCAAATATACACATAGACTTTCAGGGCAACATTTCTAACCTCGCATTATATTTTCGGATAAGAATTTTTTCCGCGAAAATGCGTAGAATTTTGGGGGTATGTCTCTCGACTAAAAATGATTGTAATTGACCCCCGCAACCGAAAATAATTTTTATTAGCATTTTTAAACAATTAAATTTATTACGAAGTTCCTCAGTATGTAATTGAATTTAAATAATTCCGTTTTTATTCTTTTTCCTATGTTCTTCGTATCGTCTATCGAGTAAACTTTTGGTTTTGAAATGCCCTACACGTAAGAATCTAATGATGCAATGTTGTTTCTAACCCTAAAACAAAGCGTTTATTCAGAAACTTTTTGTATAACATTTATTTTTTCACTTTGACCTCCAGACTAAGTTCTTGTAGTTTAGCAAAAACCCACGGGACACCCTGTACATTTATGATATATGTACATATATTTTATTACGGGTTTCAAAACGATGGCATAAGTTGAAATAAGCAAATTCCTCATGCAAAGAAAAATATAAAAGTCCTGTAATTATTTTGTAATTTCATGCTTTGTTTCTGAGACATAAGTAGTTAAAGTTTTTAGGTGAGAATGACACGGAACATATCTCTCATGTGTGCATACGTATATAGTACGCTATTTATATCGCAAGTCAGCTGATTGCACGGCTGCACATGCATGTACTTATACGCAAGAAATACGTGCCCCCATGTTCTTACCCGTAAAAATTTTAACTCTTTATATTTCGAAAACGAAACCTCAGATCGCAAATTGCTATAGGACTTTTCGATTTTTCTTCGTATAGAAAATTGACATGTTTCGGCTTGGTCTATAGTTTTGAAACAACCAATTTATACATACATATATATTTGTACATATAATAATTATTACAGAATATGAACTTAATTTAAATCGATGAATGGCAATATTGGTGCAATAGTGTAAAAAGCTTAAGTTTACCTTTATTGCTAATCTATCTATATATATATATATATATATATATAATATAATGTATATAAGTTTCTGTTAAATATTATATTGGAAGATTTTAACAAAGGTATCACATTTTTATATTTTTAAAGAAAAGTGCATTGTTACATTACAAATTAATATTACATTCTTAATATCATTCGTGTAATGTTATCAAGAAACAAGAAATTCTTATGACTAAACAATCTATAATCCAAAAACTTTGTGTGAAGAAGTAGTTCAACTTATTTTATCAATATAAAGTTAAGCATTAGGTTCTGCTGCACTCAAAGTAGCTTGTTTTGGTGGAGCAAAATCAGCTTTCCATACATGTTCCTTGCAGTGTTCAACAGCCTTAAAATAAGAAAGTTATTAAGTGATGTATATACGTTTTAGATTATTTATATATAATAGGTTAAAATTAAGTTTACTTACTTTACATTCGAAAGCTGTTTCATTTGTGGAACACCAGTAAGCAGGTCCCCATGTACAGTGCTTTATGCCGTATTTTTCGTAAGATCGTTTAATTCTTGAACCTTCCAAAGATACTGTCGAATAATCAGCAGGTGCGCAAATACCTATTTTACTACATATTTCTTTCGATATAGTTTTGCGTTCTATAAGATTTATTATACTCGGACCATAAACCTTTATCATTCCAACGCACTAAAAATAATAAAATATAACACTACTTCATAGTAATTATTATAAAGAATAAATAATAAAACATTGCAGATAAATTCTTACCTTGCTCTGTTTACTCGCTGGTAAGTATTTACATGCTTTAGATACTACACTTGTAATATTATTATCAATGTTTGAATTTCCCAAAAGCTCATCTACTACTGATATAAATCCTTTGCACAAAGCACATTCCACTACAGACGCTATAAATATAAAGGAAACAATAAAATATCAAACTTTTAACCCAAACGATTAAACTACATTTAACATAAATTATACTTAAAAATATTACAATCCAACTCTACGCCCAAAATTTTAAAGTTGTTATGAATATTTAATACTTTAAATATATACAAATATCGATATTTCTATTAGCAATGAACGTAAACAAAAGCAATATCAAACTTTTATCGTAAATCCAGATTAAATTAAATTCTACAGAAATTACAATTCCATATACCTTTCAGTTGCTCTGTCATTGACGCTGGTACTAATCCCATTATACTACACACTGTTGTAGGACTGACACCTTTGGTAATAATATCGATGACTTGGTCGCCATGCTTGTTAATAAAATTGTTGCACGACCGAGACACTGTTTTCGGAAGTTTGTTACATACATGATGCACGACATTTTCAACCTTCTGCTTTCCCTTGTCGCTACCAAGCTCTTTGTCAATAATGTGGAGAGCAGCATCACAAGCAACAAAAGCACCAATTCCAGCGTCCTCTAGTTCGGTCTCAGAACTTGCAGAACTTGTTGGCTTTTCATCAGACACTGAAACAGGATTTAGGTCGTAAAATATTCAATTAGATCTCCACATACATTCACTATTCACTCATTCTATTCAAAAATCGCAAACTATTATGAACATTTGCCAATCTAAATACATACATATCAATTTTACCACTTCCCCGTCAGAAGTAGACGTTAATATGAAGATTAAAATTTCAAAATCTTGAACTAGATGTAAATTGAATTAAATAATAGAGAAAACATATTTTAAAATACCTTCGAATTCCTCTGCAACTGGTAATGAGGCTAATCCTATAACTTTGCACACTTGATTGGGACTGACACCTTTCGTAATAACATCGATGATTTGATCGCCATGTTTGTTAACAAAGTTGTTGCATGACCCAGAATACTTTTTCGAAAGTTTGTTACATACATGATGCACGGCATTCTCAACTTTCTGCTTTCCCTTGTCGCTACCAAGTTCGTGATCAATAACGCGCATAGCTGCTTCACAAACAATAAAAGTAGCAGGTCCTGCGTCCTCAAGCATGGTCTCAGAACTTGCAGAACTTACTGGTTTCTCATCTGTGACTGCAACAAAATTGTATAGGTCGTAAAATGTTCTATTAGGTCACGATATTGTTTCCTTCTATTTCAAAATTGCAAACTGTTATGCATATTTGCCAATCTAATTACATGACAACTTTACCATTTCTGTCAGAAGTAAATGTTAACAAAAACGATGAAATTTCTAACTCTTCGACTAGATGTCGATTGAATTAAATAATAGAGAAAACATATTTTAAAATACCTTCGAATTCCTCCGCAACTGGTAATGAGGCTAATCCTATAACTTTGCACACTTGATTGGGACTGACATGTTTTATAATAACATCGATGATTTGATCGCCATGGTTGTTAACAAGATTGATGCACGGCTGAGAAAGTTTATTCGGAAGCTTGCTACATACATGACGCACTACATTTTCAACTTTTTGCTTTCCCTTATCGCTACCAAGTTCTTTCTCAATAACCTCCATTGCAGTTTTACAAGCAAGGGTAGTAGCAGCTCCTGCGTCCTCAAGCCCGGTCTCAGAACTTGCAGAACTTACTGGTTTTTCATCTGTGACTGCAACAAAATTGCATAGGTCGTAAAATGTTCTATTATGTCGCGATATTGATTCCCTCTATTCAAAAATCGCAAACTGTTATGAACATTTGCCAATCTAAATACATAACAATTTTACCACTTCCGTCAGAAGTAAATGTTAACAAAACGGATAAAATTTCAAACTCTTGTACTAAATGTAGATTGAATTAAATTATAGCGGAAACATATTTTAAAATACCTTCGAATTCCTCCGCAACTGGTAATGAGGCTAATCCTATAACTTTGCACACTTGATTGGGACTGACATGTTTTATAATAACATCGATGATTTGATCGCCATGGTTGTTAACAAGATTGTTGCACGGCTGAGAAAGTTTTTTCGGAAGCTTGTTACATACTTGATGCACGACATTTTCAACTTTTTGCTTTCCCTTATCGCTACCAAGTTCTTTCTCAATAACCTCCATTGCAGTTTTACAAGCAAGGGTAGTAGCAGCTCCTGCGTCCTCAAGCCCGGTCTCAGAACTTGCAGAACTTACTGGTTTTTCATCTGTGACTGCAACAAAATTGCATAGGTCGTAAAATGTTCTATTAGGTCGCGATATTGATTCCCTCTACTCAAAAATCGCAAACTGTTATGAACATTTACCAATCTAAATACATAACAATTTTACCACTTCCGTCAGAAGTAAATGTTAACAAAACGGATAAAATTTCAAACTCTTGTACTAAATGTAGATTGAATTAAATTATAGCGGAAACATATTTTAAAATACCTTCGAATTCCTCTGCAACTGGTAATGAGGCTAATCCTATAACTTTGCACACTTGATTGGGACTGACATGTTTTATAATAACATCGATGATTTGATCGCCATGGTTGTTAACAAGATTGTTGCACGGCTGAGAAAGTTTTTTCGGAAGCTTGTTACATACTTGATGCACGACATTTTCAACTTTTTGCTTTCCCTTATCGCTACCAAGTTCTTTCTCAATAACCTCCATTGCAGTTTTACAAGCAAGGGTAGTAGCAGCTCCTGCGTCCTCAAGCCCGGTCTCAGAACTTGCAGAACTTACTGGTTTTTCATCTGTGACTGCAACAAAATTGCATAGGTCGTAAAATGTTCTATTAGATCGCGATATTGATTCCCTCTACTCAAAAATCGCAAACTGTTATGAACATTTACCAATCTAAATACATAACAATTTTACCACTTCCGTCAGAAGTAAATGTTAACAAAACGGATAAAATTTCAAACTCTTGTACTAAATGTAGATTGAATTAAATTATAGCGGAAACATATTTTAAAATACCTTCGAATTCCTCTGCAACTGGTAATGAGGCTAATCCTATAACTGTGCACACACGTTTAGCAGTGACACCTTTTGTAATAACATCGATGATTTGATCGCCATGTTTGTTAACAAAGTTGTTGCACGACCCAGAATACTTTTTCGAAAGTTTGTTACATACATGATGCACGGCATTCTCAACTTTCTGCTTTCCCTTGTCGCTACCAAGTTCGTGATCAATAACGCGCATAGCTGCTTCACAAACAATAAAAGTAGCAACTCCTGCATCCTCCAACTCTGTCTCGGAACTCGCAGGACTTATTGGTTTTGCTTCAGTGACTGCAACAGAATTGCATAGGTTCTAAAATGTTGTATTAGGTCTTGATATTCATTCACTATTTATTCATTCTATTCATAAATCGCAAACTGTTATGAACATTTACCAATCTAAATACAAAACAATTTTACCACTTCCGGTCGTAGTAGACGTTCACAAGAAGGATAAAATTTCAAACTCTTGTACTAAATGTAGATTGAATTAAATTATAGCGGAAACATATTTTAAAATACCTTCGAATTCCTCTGCAACTGGTAATGAGGCTAATCCTATAACTTTGCACACTTGATTGGGACTGACATGTTTTATAATAACATCGATGATTTGATCGCCATGGTTGTTAACAAGATTGTTGCACGGCTGAGAAAGTTTTTTCGGAAGCTTGTTACATACTTGATGCACGACATTTTCAACTTTTTGCTTTCCCTTATCGCTACCAAGTTCTTTCTCAATAACCTCCATTGCAGTTTTACAAGCAAGGGTAGTAGCGGCTCCTGCGTCCTCAAGCCCGGTCTCAGAACTTGCAGAACTTACTGGTTTTTCATCTGTGACTGCAACAAAATTGCATAGGTCGTAAAATGTTCTATTATGTCGCGATATTGATTCCCTCTATTCAAAAATCGCAAACTGTTATGAACATTTGCCAATCTAAATACATAACAATTTTACCACTTCCGTCAGAAGTAAATGTTAACAAAACGGATAAAATTTCAAACTCTTGTACTAAATGTAGATTGAATTAAATTATAGCGGAAACATATTTTAAAATACCTTCGAATTCCTCCGCAACTGGTAATGAGGCTAATCCTATAACTTTGCACACTTGATTGGGACTGACATGTTTTATAATAACATCGATGATTTGATCGCCATGGTTGTTAACAAGATTGTTGCACGGCTGAGAAAGTTTTTTCGGAAGCTTGTTACATACTTGATGCACGACATTTTCAACTTTTTGCTTTCCCTTATCGCTACCAAGTTCTTTCTCAATAACCTCCATTGCAGTTTTACAAGCAAGGGTAGTAGCAGCTCCTGCGTCCTCAAGCCCGGTCTCAGAACTTGCAGAACTTACTGGTTTTTCATCTGTGACTGCAACAAAATTGCATAGGTCGTAAAATGTTCTATTAGGTCGCGATATTGATTCCCTCTACTCAAAAATCGCAAACTGTTATGAACATTTACCAATCTAAATACATAACAATTTTACCACTTCCGTCAGAAGTAAATGTTAACAAAACGGATAAAATTTCAAACTCTTGTACTAAATGTAGATTGAATTAAATTATAGCGGAAACATATTTTAAAATACCTTCGAATTCCTCTGCAACTGGTAATGAGGCTAATCCTATAACTTTGCACACTTGATTGGGACTGACATGTTTTATAATAACATCGATGATTTGATCGCCATGGTTGTTAACAAGATTGTTGCACGGCTGAGAAAGTTTTTTCGGAAGCTTGTTACATACTTGATGCACGACATTTTCAACTTTTTGCTTTCCCTTATCGCTACCAAGTTCTTTCTCAATAACCTCCATTGCAGTTTTACAAGCAAGGGTAGTAGCAGCTCCTGCGTCCTCAAGCCCGGTCTCAGAACTTGCAGAACTTACTGGTTTTTCATCTGTGACTGCAACAAAATTGCATAGGTCGTAAAATGTTCTATTAGATCGCGATATTGATTCCCTCTACTCAAAAATCGCAAACTGTTATGAACATTTACCAATCTAAATACATAACAATTTTACCACTTCCGTCAGAAGTAAATGTTAACAAAACGGATAAAATTTCAAACTCTTGTACTAAATGTAGATTGAATTAAATTATAGCGGAAACATATTTTAAAATACCTTCGAATTCCTCTGCAACTGGTAATGAGGCTAATCCTATAACTGTGCACACACGTTTAGCAGTGACACCTTTTGTAATAACATCGATGATTTGATCGCCATGTTTGTTAACAAAGTTGTTGCACGACCCAGAATACTTTTTCGAAAGTTTGTTACATACATGATGCACGGCATTCTCAACTTTCTGCTTTCCCTTGTCGCTACCAAGTTCGTGATCAATAACGCGCATAGCTGCTTCACAAACAATAAAAGTAGCAACTCCTGCATCCTCCAACTCTGTCTCGGAACTCGCAGGACTTATTGGTTTTGCTTCAGTGACTGCAACAGAATTGCATAGGTTCTAAAATGTTGTATTAGGTCTTGATATTCATTCACTATTTATTCATTCTATTCATAAATCGCAAACTGTTATGAACATTTACCAATCTAAATACAAAACAATTTTACCACTTCCGGTCGTAGTAGACGTTCACAAGAAGGATAAAATTTCAAACTCTTGTACTAAATGTAGATTGAATTAAATTATAGCGGAAACATATTTTAAAATACCTTCGAATTCCTCTGCAACTGGTAATGAGGCTAATCCTATAACTTTGCACACTTGATTGGGACTGACATGTTTTATAATAACATCGATGATTTGATCGCCATGGTTGTTAACAAGATTGTTGCACGGCTGAGAAAGTTTTTTCGGAAGCTTGTTACATACTTGATGCACGACATTTTCAACTTTTTGCTTTCCCTTATCGCTACCAAGTTCTTTCTCAATAACCTCCATTGCAGTTTTACAAGCAAGGGTAGTAGCGGCTCCTGCGTCCTCAAGCCCGGTCTCAGAACTTGCAGAACTTACTGGTTTTTCATCTGTGACTGCAACAAAATTGCATAGGTCGTAAAATGTTCTATTATGTCGCGATATTGATTCCCTCTATTCAAAAATCGCAAACTGTTATGAACATTTGCCAATCTAAATACATAACAATTTTACCACTTCCGTCAGAAGTAAATGTTAACAAAACGGATAAAATTTCAAACTCTTGTACTAAATGTAGATTGAATTAAATTATAGCGGAAACATATTTTAAAATACCTTCGAATTCCTCCGCAACTGGTAATGAGGCTAATCCTATAACTTTGCACACTTGATTGGGACTGACATGTTTTATAATAACATCGATGATTTGATCGCCATGGTTGTTAACAAGATTGTTGCACGGCTGAGAAACTTTTTTCGGAAGCTTGTTACATACTTGATGCACGACATTTTCAACTTTTTGCTTTCCCTTATCGCTACCAAGTTCTTTCTCAATAACCTCCATTGCAGTTTTACAAGCAAGGGTAGTAGCAGCTCCTGCGTCCTCAAGCCCGGTCTCAGAACTTGCAGAACTTACTGGTTTTTCATCTGTGACTGCAACAAAATTGCATAGGTCGTAAAATGTTCTATTAGGTCGCGATATTGATTCCCTCTACTCAAAAATCGCAAACTGTTATGAACATTTGCCAATCTAAATACAAAACAATTTTACCACTTCCGGTCGTAGTAGACGTTCACAAGAAGGATAAAATTTCAAACTCTTGTACTAAATGTAGATTGAATTAAATTATAGCGGAAACATATTTTAAAATACCTTCGAATTCCTCTGCAACTGGTAATGAGGCTAATCCTATAACTTTGCACACTTGATTGGGACTGACATGTTTTATAATAACATCGATGATTTGATCGCCATGGTTGTTAACAAGATTGTTGCACGGCTGAGAAAGTTTTTTCGGAAGCTTGTTACATACTTGATGCACGACATTTTCAACTTTTTGCTTTCCCTTATCGCTACCAAGTTCTTTCTCAATAACCTCCATTGCAGTTTTACAAGCAAGGGTAGTAGCGGCTCCTGCGTCCTCAAGCCCGGTCTCAGAACTTGCAGAACTTACTGGTTTTTCATCTGTGACTGCAACAAAATTGCATAGGTCGTAAAATGTTCTATTAGGTCGCGATATTGATTCCCTCTACTCAAAAATCGCAAACTGTTATGAACATTTGCCAATCTAAATACATAACAATTTTACCACTTCCGTCAGAAGTAAATGTTAACAAAACGGATAAAATTTCAAACTCTTGTACTAAATGTAGATTGAATTAAATTATAGCGGAAACAAATTTTAAAATACCTTCGAATTCCTCTGCAACTGGTAATGAGGCTAATCCTATAACTGTGCACACACGTTTAGCAGTGACACCTTTTGTAATAACATCGATGATTTGATCGCCATGTTTGTTAACAAAGTTGTTGCACGACTCAGAATACTTTTTCGAAAGTTTGTTACATACATGATGCACGGCATTCTCAACTTTCTGCTTTCCCTTGTCGCTACCAAGTTCGTGATCAATAACGCGCATAGCTGCTTCACAAACAATAAAAGTAGCAACTCCTGCATCCTCCAACTCTGTCTCGGAACTCGCAGGACTTATTGGTTTTGCTTCAGTGACTGCAACAGAATTGCATAGGTTCTAAAATGTTGTATTAGGTCTTGATATTCATTCACTATTTATTCATTCTATTCATAAATCGCAAACTGTTATGAACATTTACCAATCTAAATACAAAACAATTTTACCACTTCCGGTCGTAGTAGACGTTCACAAGAAGGATAAAATTTCAAACTCTTGTACTAAATGTAGATTGAATTAAATTATAGCGGAAACATATTTTAAAATACCTTCGAATTCCTCTGCAACTGGTAATGAGGCTAATCCTATAACTTTGCACACTTGATTGGGACTGACATGTTTTATAATAACATCGATGATTTGATCGCCATGGTTGTTAACAAGATTGTTGCACGGCTGAGAAAGTTTTTTCGGAAGCTTGTTACATACTTGATGCACGACATTTTCAACTTTTTGCTTTCCCTTATCGCTACCAAGTTCTTTCTCAATAACCTCCATTGCAGTTTTACAAGCAAGGGTAGTAGCGGCTCCTGCGTCCTCAAGCCCGGTCTCAGAACTTGCAGAACTTACTGGTTTTTCATCTGTGACTGCAACAAAATTGCATAGGTCGTAAAATGTTCTATTAGGTCGCGATATTGATTCCCTCTACTCAAAAATCGCAAACTGTTATGAACATTTGCCAATCTAAATACATAACAATTTTACCACTTCCGTCAGAAGTAAATGTTAACAAAACGGATAAAATTTCAAACTCTTGTACTAAATGTAGATTGAATTAAATTATAGCGGAAACAAATTTTAAAATACCTTCGAATTCCTCTGCAACTGGTAATGAGGCTAATCCTATAACTGTGCACACACGTTTAGCAGTGACACCTTTTGTAATAACATCGATGATTTGATCGCCATGTTTGTTAACAAAGTTGTTGCACGACTCAGAATACTTTTTCGAAAGTTTGTTACATACATGATGCACGGCATTCTCAACTTTCTGCTTTCCCTTGTCGCTACCAAGTTCGTGATCAATAACGCGCATAGCTGCTTCACAAACAATAAAAGTAGCAACTCCTGCATCCTCCAACTCTGTCTCGGAACTCGCAGGACTTATTGGTTTTGCTTCAGTGACTGCAACAGAATTGCATAGGTTCTAAAATGTTGTATTAGGTCTTGATATTCATTCACTATTATTCATTCTATTCATAAATCGCAAACTGTTATGAACATTTACCAATCTAAATACAAAACAATTTTACCACTTCCGGTCGTAGTAGACGTTCACAAGAAGGATAAAATTTCAAACTCTTGTACTAAATGTAGATTGAATTAAATTATAGCGGAAACATATTTTAAAATACCTTCGAATTCCTCTGCAACTGGTAATGAGGCTAATCCTATAACTTTGCACACTTGATTGGGACTGACATGTTTTATAATAACATCGATGATTTGATCGCCATGGTTGTTAACAAGATTGTTGCACGGCTGAGAAAGTTTTTTCGGAAGCTTGTTACATACTTGATGCACGACATTTTCAACTTTTTGCTTTCCCTTATCGCTACCAAGTTCTTTCTCAATAACCTCCATTGCAGTTTTACAAGCAAGGGTAGTAGCAGCTCCTGCGTCCTCAAGCCCGGTCTCAGAACTTGCAGAACTTACTGGTTTTTCATCTGTGACTGCAACAAAATTGCATAGGTCGTAAAATGTTCTATTAGGTCGCGATATTGATTCCCTCTACTCAAAAATCGCAAACTGTTATGAACATTTGCCAATCTAAATACATAACAATTTTACCACTTCCGTCAGAAGTAAATGTTAACAAAACGGATAAAATTTCAAACTCTTGTACTAAATGTAGATTGAATTAAATTATAGCGGAAACAAATTTTTAAAATACCTTCGAATTCCTCTGCAACTGGTAATGAGGCTAATCCTATAACTGTGCACACACGTTTAGCAGTGACACCTTTTGTAATAACATCGATGATTTGATCGCCATGTTTGTTAACAAAGTTGTTGCACGACTCAGAATACTTTTTCGAAAGTTTGTTACATACATGATGCACGGCATTCTCAACTTTCTGCTTTCCCTTGTCGCTACCAAGTTCGTGATCAATAACGCGCATAGCTGCTTCACAAACAATAAAAGTAGCAACTCCTGCATCCTCCAACTCTGTCTCGGAACTCGCAGGACTTATTGGTTTTGCTTCAGTGACTGCAACAGAATTGCATAGGTTCTAAAATGTTGTATTAGGTCTTGATATTCATTCACTATTTATTCATTCTATTCATAAATCGCAAACTGTTATGAACATTTACCAATCTAAATACAAAACAATTTTACCACTTCCGGTCGTAGTAGACGTTCACAAGAAGGATAAAATTTCAAACTCTTGTACTAAATGTAGATTGAATTAAATTATAGCGGAAACATATTTTAAAATACCTTCGAATTCCTCTGCAACTGGTAATGAGGCTAATCCTATAACTTTGCACACTTGATTGGGACTGACATGTTTTATAATAACATCGATGATTTGATCGCCATGGTTGTTAACAAGATTGTTGCACGGCTGAGAAAGTTTTTTCGGAAGCTTGTTACATACTTGATGCACGACATTTTCAACTTTTTGCTTTCCCTTATCGCTACCAAGTTCTTTCTCAATAACCTCCATTGCAGTTTTACAAGCAAGGGTAGTAGCAGCTCCTGCGTCCTCAAGCCCGGTCTCAGAACTTGCAGAACTTACTGGTTTTTCATCTGTGACTGCAACAAAATTGCATAGGTCGTAAAATGTTCTATTAGGTCGCGATATTGATTCCCTCTACTCAAAAATCGCAAACTGTTATGAACATTTGCCAATCTAAATACATAACAATTTTACCACTTCCGTCAGAAGTAAATGTTAACAAAACGGATAAAATTTCAAACTCTTGTACTAAATGTAGATTGAATTAAATTATAGCGGAAACAAATTTTAAAATACCTTCGAATTCCTCTGCAACTGGTAATGAGGCTAATCCTATAACTGTGCACACACGTTTAGCAGTGACACCTTTTGTAATAACATCGATGATTTGATCGCCATGTTTGTTAACAAAGTTGTTGCACGACTCAGAATACTTTTTCGAAAGTTTGTTACATACATGATGCACGGCATTCTCAACTTTCTGCTTTCCCTTGTCGCTACCAAGTTCGTGATCAATAACGCGCATAGCTGCTTCACAAACAATAAAAGTAGCAACTCCTGCATCCTCCAACTCTGTCTCGGAACTCGCAGGACTTATTGGTTTTGCTTCAGTGACTGCAACAGAATTGCATAGGTTCTAAAATGTTGTATTAGGTCTCGATATTCATTCACTATTTATTCATTCTATTCATAAATCGCAAACTGTTATGAACATTTACCAATCTAAATACAAAACAATTTTACCACTTCCGGTCGTAGTAGACGTTCACAAGAAGGATAAAATTTCAAATTCTTGTACTAAATGTAGATGGAATTAAATTATAAAGAAATTGTATTTTGAAATACCTTGAAATGCGTTTTCCATGAATGTTGTGCATATTCCTAGGATTCCACAAACTAGGTTGGGGCTAACATCTTTTATAATAGCAGTGATTATAGCATCGCCATGTTTGGTAACGAAACTACTGCATGATTGAGAAAGTGTCTTTGGAAGATGCTTGCATACATTCTGCACTGTATTTTCAATTTTATGCTTTTCTTTATCACTACCAATTTCTTTTTCAATATAACGTAAAGCTTGTTTACAAATATCACAATTAACACTTGCTCTCTGCAGCCATATGTCAGAGCTTACTGAAGAATCTGGTATTTCATTAGTTACTGAAATGGCATGTAAAGAGCTTCTTAATAGTGCATAAACTCTTAAAATGTGTACTGTATTTCTACACCTAAATTAAAAATTATCCACTTATTATAAATAATTAGTAATTTATATACATACAAATTTCGCCATTTTCGTCGGTAATGAATGTGTTTTTTGGGCCAACGTCTTTTGTGTCATCGCACATTTTAATATAAACACATATTTCTTGAGGTGTCAAGTCTGCTATGAGCAATTCTACAATCTCTTTACTGTAACCTTTCACTAAGTCTTGACATTCTTCGGACAAACTTCGCGGTAAAGTAATGCACAATTTGTCCAGCGCAGATTCGATGTTTTTCTGTAAGTAAGAGTGACCTGTTTTTAATGCTACTAGATTTTAAAAATATTATTGTTAATTTGAGTATATAAATAAAGCATATGCTATAACCTCGGTCTTATCATTTTTGATAACATTATAAATTTGTGTTATAGCAAGCAAACATAATGGACAACCAGGTTTTTTCTTTGTTTCTTCAAGCATATATTTTGCTGGAATACTGTCCCAGATTTGCATTAACTCATTAGTAGGACAGAGACGTAACATTGGGCATACCTATAATTAGATTTTTTGTAATTTTTGCTTTCATCGCGGTATTTAAATTAATACATATTATATTATATATACTAACTTGGGATGGGTCAATTTCTTGAGCTAGTATAGCTACAATAACGTCTCCATAATTATCTACAAATTCGGAACATTCACCTTCTACACTTTCTGGTAATTTCTTGCATATGTATTCTAGTCTTTGTTTTAGTTTTTCCTATACAATAAAATAAATTATTTGTCACGTCAGTGGAGTAACTATATATTGTCTTCTTTGTTGAATTAAACACAATATAAGAATATTTTCATAATATTTACCTCATTAACAGGATTCGTTATGAACTCTTGCATAGAATGTAACACATATTCACAAAGTACACATGATTCTTTTCCTTTAACATCCTGTTGAGCCATGGACATCGGGAAAGGCAGCATCCTTTCAATAGGCAATTGCATTGCTTCCACTTCTGTTTTAGTCAATTCCTCATGTTTTTCACTTTTTAATTTCTTCTCTGAATCTTGGAAAATACGTATTCCAATTTCTGCTACATTGTTAGGTACCAATGGCCAAATTGGTTCATTCTAGATAATATTACATTTGAAATTAATGCTAATTATATATTAAACCGTTCAATTTATATTTTTAGTACCATCATGTGTAACTACCATGTAATATACATTATTAATACAAAAAATATGCACCTGAATTGTTTTACCGGGAACAGGGCATAGTCCGGACATTTGGCAAACAGCATAAGTATTTAGATTTTTTGTAAGATACGAATAAATTTCTGGGTAATATTCATCAACTATGGATGTACACTAAAATAAAATATTTATAATTAGTAAATTATTCTGCAAATAAATACATACACAACAAATACTAAAATGCTTACTTCGCTTCTGAACGACTTTGTTTGTTTGCACAATCCATCTAAAACTAGGCGGAATTCCACTTCTGTAGTATTAGCTACTAAAAGATCTCTTAAATGTCCAACAAGTTGTTCACACAATTTACATGGAAGATCATCGTTCACATCAACCATACCAACACTTGATAGTGGTCTAATTTCTACTTTCGGAGTCTGGAATATGTTTCATATAATTAAATTAACTTTATATTACATCATTAATATAAAGTTACCTTAAACTTACCTTATCTGTATCTTCATGTTTGTGGAAGTTAGCACTGCATTGTCCAGATAAATGACATACATTTTGAGTATTGAAATTTTTTTGTAAATGATCATATATTGTATTAAAGTAAGTCAAAACTGTTGCTGAACAAGCATCTGTAAAAGTATCAAATTGTGCACATAAATTAAGCATTTGCTTCAACATCTTATCACGTGGAGTGTGATTTAGTTTATATTCCATATGTGCTGCAACCGTATGGCATTTGGTACATTCATCAGGCTCAAGTTCATCATCATCCAAAGTCTTCATTTTATTAACCTGTAACAAATACTTAAATTTTACATATATATATATATTTTAGGAAATAATATGTACATATGTAGTTATGGATCTTATGTGACATTTAATAATTAATTAAAAGTTCCACGAACAATTATACAACACGTAAGAATATAAAATAGTACCAAAGAAATATAAAATACTACCTTAATTGTAGATTCTTTCAGTAATTTATCAATATGAGCTGAATTACAAAGACCAGCTACGGAACAAACAACTGATGGATTCATTTGCGATGCCAATGTCTCCACAAGATCAGGAATATATTGATCTACAATTTTTACGCATTCGATTACAATTGGTTTAATGCGTATTAGTTTGCAACTTCCTTCAAAAACATCTTTCAAATCATTTTGGGTTTGATTGCTCTCTAGTTGATCACGAGCTTGTTGAACCATATCTTTGCAAATGTCACAAACACTATCATTATCTTCTGGTACTTTCATATCCGCCCATATTGTTTTAATACAATGTTTTGTGGCATTACATCCCGATGCAGTTCTGTATTTATACAAAATAAAACATTTTAGTATACATACTAAACATAATATTATATACAAGTTTAGTAATATTTAGAAACTCGTAGCAACATGTACGTTAAGAATTGTATTAATATATAGCATAAAAACTATTCAAATGTTTTTGGACTAAAAGTTTAATATTAAAATTTTTAAAAAGCAATTTTTGAAAATACACACAGTATAAAATATCACAGAAGCATTTAAAAACCATAATTCTTCTATTGATCAATACTATGTATATTATCAAGGAAGTGAAATTGTTATAAATAACATATTTAAGAAAAATGCAAACAAATGCAAGTATCAGAGAATTAATAATTGAGTAGTATGTTAAAAGCAAATTATATAATCAAATCATACGATTGTTTAGAAAAGGTAATATATAATATTTTATCTATCTTACTTAATATTTTCACACCAATACGAAGGTCCCCATGTACATTTCTCTTGGCCCAGAAGGCGAGCATCAGTTGGATCAACAGCATTAATTACCACTCTAGCATTACATACTAAAACATATAAATTTATAATTCATTAAAAAATGATGTTATACATTTACATAATATATGAGTACATAACAGTGTAATATATATTTTCAGGAATGGACCAAATGAAAAAATACAAAGAATTTGTCTTTGAAATTACGTTAATTTGGCAATAAATATATTCATTGAAATGTTCTTATTTAAAAACAGATACACAGCTAATAATTCGTTCATGTAGTTTGAACAAATACAAATTACTTAGTAGTATTTTCATTAATCACGAATTATTCCACAGTAAGTAGTAAAGTACTGACTCATACATCTGAATGAACAAGTCCCATCATCTCTTACAAACAATAGCAGCATAATTATCAACTGCATTAACGCAGAAGAACTCATTCTGCTAAATACTAATATACTTTAAGTGGTGTAATCTTAGTAACGTTATGGTTCCAATGTTCAATAATAATATTGTATATATTCGATAACATTTAAGAAACTGTGGCAAAAAACGCATAGTTTCTAATACAGGGTGACAAAACTACGGTTTAATAAGAACAGTGTATCGCATAGAGGACTACGTGACGAACAAAGGAAAAGAACATTGAATGCTGAATAATCGAGACACTCACCAGCTAGAATCGCGCTGAGCGCGATTAAAATCTTCATTTTCGCTGCTTTGCTTCCCAATTTTTTTCGAGAAAACGTGCAAATCAGCAATATAAAGATTCAACAACGTTGCTTCTTTGTTACTATATTATCCACGATGCTATTCAACGATGACGTGCTAACTACTTTCGTAATGGATTCCGTATGAGTGTAGCAAAACAGAATACCGACAAATTATTAAACAGTGCTTCACTGGACGCAACTGTCAAATGACTGTTCCGATCGCTTATAAGTACGCATTTCTTAACCAATGCGTTCTCTCTTTCGCTCTCTTTCTAATTTCTTCAACAGCCAATAGGAATTTAGCATTCCCGACACGTGATACGCATCTCTTTCCTTTCTCAGTGTATGCAAGACAATTGATAGTGTTACACTGCGCGTAACATTTTTTAAATGTGAGACATCATTAATTTTCCCTGAAGTAGAACCGGTATTATCAATAGCCATCATTTTTCTAGCTACGTTAAAATTAATAAAACTTTGTAGTTAATTTCCGTTGGATTGATTTGTATTAAAACAGATAGTGGCGTGCCCTGTCGGTGTAAAAGTGAGAAAAGCAAATACAAGCCAAACATCTTTGATTATTCATTCGATTGTGACTTATTCTTTCTTAATCATTGCACAATCACGAGAGAGAGGGAGACAGAGAAACAATAAAAATATCATTCCCTAAAGTGAGGGGAAAATATTACCGACGCGCAATTATGTATGGTACTAATATATCAACAATAGATAAACAAAATCTTGATAAAATAACATTTGATCGATTGTATGTATATTTTGATATTCCTTTATCGCAATTAAGCATAAACGTAAATTCTTATTGTTTTATATAGTTAAGAGTAACCTTTATAATTACACCCATGTAGAATTGCACATTCGATATTGTAGTCGTTTTGTTATCGGTTATCGTATAGGGTTTTTGTATGCAAAATACTTCTAATTTAGTGCAATACCAACAGGTACACATTAAAGACGTCGAATTTACGTCACCCGACCAAAATGCAAAAAAAAGTCATTTAAAATAATGTCGCATCATACTATGTAATATTGATATTGTTAACCATTTTTTATTAAGTCGCGAATTCGAGGCGAGCGATACAATTGAACATTTCCAGAAATGTCTTCTTCAATTCAAAAGATTCGTTACAAAAAATAAAATGTCTGGAAACATGAAATTTTTTGCGCTCGCTTTAACGTTTGCATTTTGACGTTGCAACAGTTATTTAGTTGGAAAGTAATGTATCTCCGTTGATATTATAATATCGCGTACGAGTTTATTATTAAACATTGTAATGTATTTATCAACAACACATCGTAAATATTAGTATCTTTCGTGTATTTAATTGTTCGTTTGAAATTTACAAATTCACGGGTATAATTTTAAATCGCGACCAAAAATTAAGCAACGCACTTTTTATTGCGTAAAGAATTACACTTACTATGGTCTTGTAAAGTTTGTAATTTACAACTATTTAGTAGGCAAATTTTTAACGATGGTCTCAAACGTAATATTTTGTGTCACAAGGAAACAAAATATATTATGTCACGTAAATTTGTATTTTCAAATTTCTACATAGTGAATTATTTTAATTGTAAATAAAAACAATCGAGGTTAATCGATATTTGGGAGTTAAAGGTCACTGTATCATTATACATATATCTACGTACAATTAGTAGAAAAAAAAAAGAGACGAACAGAAATGTTTTCTGAATGAATCACTATCGTGAAAGATTTGAAAAACTTCCTGTGATAAATTCTTGTTAGAAACACTCTTGAAAGTAAATATGTATTTCGAAATATGCTGCATCCATCTCTATAATTGACTAGTAATTTAAAAGATAAATTGAAGACATAGTTTTTATTTGATTCAAATATTATTTGAAGTATTAACGTCACTAATTGAAAGTACTTGAATCGAATAAAAAATATATCCTCAATTTTTCTTAACGCGTTAACGTCATCGGTGAAGTTTAATAGATGGAATTGTTAAATAATCAGTGACACGTAATTCCTTCACTCCAGGTGTTCGAATAAAAAACAACGATTAGTTAATCAAGATATAAACTTAGTTTTCAGAACTTTTATTTTCGTTTTTATATAAAGTGATATTTATTATTTAAATTAATTTAAATAAATTTAATTTACATAATATTACATGCTTAATTTTCTTTCAAAAATTGAATTATCTTCGTTTGAAACAAATGAGCTACAATGTTATTATTGTAAGCAATCGTTGGGGCGACCGTCGCAATTGGGCGACGCGACGGATGTTTAGGTTATAAGATAAGAGGTGTCGATCCCGAAAAGGGAGGAGAGCGGAACGATCCCGAGGAGAAACGAGCGTTCTGCAGGCAGTCAAATAAAACCTCTTAAGAAAGAAGCATCTCACCGCCCTTTAGTTTTCTTCACCCTTTTGTCCGCTATATTATGTTCATTAGAATCTGAAATAATGACAAAAGTGTCATATTCTAATGAATTGTCCACTCAATGATAATCAACTGTTCATTTGTTTTAAGCTGAGTTAATAGAATTTTTTGATGATAAGTAACGAGTAGATAATTTTTTTAGACACAGTAACTTTGTCATCATTTCAGATTCTAATGAACATGATAGTGTTGCTATTCATTAATTACAAATGAAAATAATAGAATTTCTGGCGATAAGCAACGAATGGATAATTCTTTAAAACATGGCAACTTTGTTAGTCTCTATTCCGAAATCGTTACATTTTTATAAATTTTCAATCGTGTCCTTCTCAATCCATATTATTTTATCCATGGAAGCTTGATAAATTTTGTTAAATAGTATTATGTTACACATCGTTCGAATTCTCTCTTTCTTGTATCATAAGATATTAGCCCTATCAATTACAAACCTCATCTGAATTTATTATTCTTTAGAGTTGTACAGAATTACAATTGTATTGCTCCAGGAATTATGATTACAAAATGATTGATCTACATCGTAACTGAATTACATTATAATTTGTAATTTAGATCTTTAAATCGGAAAAGTATTTTATTTAAATACTCTGTAAAATACTAAATTATACGAAGTGTTTCCGTGGTGTAGTGGTTATCACATCCGCCTAACACGCGGAAGGTCCCCGGTTCGATCCCGGGCGGAAACATTATTTTTTTTTCAATTTCATATTTTCTGTATTAATATAAAACACAATTGTTTATTCATGTCAATATTTTATTTTACACAAATATATAAATGCCTTTTAAATTTAGTTAAATACATATTACAGTGAAAACTCGATAAATGTCGCTACTCCGGGTCCGGTCAGCAACACTTACGGAATAGGAGAATCGTCTTTCGAATTTGATTGTAGTTTGCCGACGCTTCGAACGTAGAAAGAGTCAGTAGCTAAAGAAGAAAGAGGGACTGATTTATCGCCCCCATTTTAAATATCCGCGTCAGTGTGACCACACTACTGCACAGAAGAAAGTTTTTTATTTTTTACTTTTTGTTAATAAAAATTTCACTATCATGTTGGGGAGATTTCTCTGATTAAAATGAGGCTAAACACGATATAAATCGGTCAATATTTGGTAGCATAATATTGAATTAAATATTGTACATGCGAATCTTTCTCTCTTTATTTATCCTTCTTGTGCTGTCCTTTTCTATGTTCGGAAATATCAAAGAACGACGCATCGAGGTGCTGGCTACATTTATCGAACGGCAGGTAGCTATTTTCAAACGGAACGGTTCCACCGTTTCGTAAGTGATCAAAAACTGCAACACTTATGAAATAGGGGGTTTCGTTAGCTACCACTGTTCGATAAATGTACCAATCCACTGACCTTGCGAAGATACGAGTACACAATATTTAATTCAATATTATGGTAACAAATATTGGCCGATTTATATCGTGTTTAGTCTCATTTTAATTAGAAAAATCTTCCCCACATGATAGTAAAATTTTTATTAAAAAAAAGTAAAAAATAAAATACTTTCTTCTTGTACAGTAGTGTGGTCACACTGACAGGGACATTTAAACTAAGCTGACGAAGGCAATAAAGATTTTTAAAGAAAGCCGCTACGTCTCCGGTTACACTTCGCCTCACTGGTTCAAGGGGGATCCCCCTAGTGGTGGGGATAAAAATGTATCATTTATGGAACAGCTCTTGATGACATTTATCGAGTTTTCACTGTATATCAATCCAAGAGAATTCATAAAAATATATTTTGTTCAAAATTTCACTATTTTAATTTTTGCTTTTTCCCACAATTATTATAACTCTCTAAGTAGGTGTAATGTCGAAAGAACAAGATATATAACGAAATATTGTGTTAATCGTGAATTATTTTTTCTTTCTTGCTATTTTCGAAATTTCTGTGTAAGTACATCAACATAGAAGGGAGAGAAAACTAAAAGTACACATTATTTTTCGAAGAACTCGGTGCTTCATAAGAAGAGTTTAAAATAAGAAACACTGACGAATAGTTCGTTTCCTTCAACGCTAGATGGCGCTTATTTACCGACCTTATAGCTCTTTTGCTATACTAATATTTAAGGGTGATTAGACAGCGGATGTGGTTTTCACAATATTTATTTTCAACAAGAATTAACAGTAACAATCAACAATTAACAATAACAGCGAACTTTGTCTACAAACACGTGTGCGCGGGTCGAGAGCTAATAACGGAAGGCAGTACTCAATTGTTTTTGATGGTTGAAACGGCATCGTGTGCAGCGCCAAAGCTACGGACGTTGGCCACAACCTCAAACCCCCTGGTGCTAAAACGCCCAAGCTTGTCGAGAAATCCATCTAGCGTGGACGATATTTATTTTTTCTTTTTTGCTATTTTCAAAATTCCTGTGTGAGTACATCAACATAGAAGGGAGAGAAAACTAGAAGTATAGACCTTTGAACGAATGAATAGACCTTTCACCTAATATAATTTTTCGGCCGGAGTTTCTGGGGTCCCGGGACCCCATTACCACTTTCGTGTCACTCGCAACGTTATCAACAGATTTAAAAATTAACACAAGAGGAAGTGAGACAGAAAATAAAATTACATAAATTTTATTATTTTTTAACGGAATGAAAGTTGTATGGTTCAGAATTGAGCATCGATCGATTAATTTCATTGGAATAACCAATCGATTGAGATTATTTAAAGATTTCAAAATTATTAAAATACGTAAGGATCTCATTGATAAATACACCGCAAATCCTCTATTGTTT